GAGGCCGAAAACGGGGAACATGGGCGAATGGTAGCGGATCGGTACCTTTCCCTCATCTGACCATCTGCTCGGGCCCCATCTGGAAGGCCTAGCATCTCCGAGCCAGGAGGGGCCAGAGGAAGGTGGCCGACGAGGGTGCCGATGCTGCCGCACGGGGATTTGCACAGAGACCGACCGTCCTGGCATTCCTATGGGTCTACCACGAAATTCTTAAACCCAAAAACGATCTAACAACATGACGAATGTTCCTAGAGCGTAGACGCGATGTGTTAACACAAGACAGTACCAGCCAGGAATGTTCTAAGACTGTTACACCTGAGAAAACCCCAATCAGTGGATGACTTGAACATTCATACTATGGATCTTAAGATCGATTGTGATATCGATAATGAGATCGTAGTGAGGACGATTGTGAGGTCGATAGTGAGACCGAGAGTGAAATGGGTTCAATGAGATCGATAGTGAAATCGATCGCGAGATCACTCATGCGATCTCTAGTGAGATCGCTTGTAGATCGATAGTGAAATCGATTGTGAGGACGATGGTGAGATCGATGGTAAAACCGATCGATAAAAAAATCGACCAGGAACCCGGGAACCAAGGAACCTCGCCGCCCTCATAAATCGGCCCAGAACCCAGAACCGGGAAACCAGGAACCCAGAACCGGGAAACCAGGAACCCAGCCAGCAACCAAAATTGGCGGGAAACTTTCGCCAAATCCATCAACATCCGCGACGACCCCTTCAGTGGGGAATTTCGTGCAGACCACAAGAGGCTGTTGGAACATTCTTTGGTCGGCCTAATGATGGGGAGCCGAAGACGCTTTGCCACTGCTTGAGGGGCGAGAAGACGGTGGCCGACGAGGGTGCCGATGCGGCCGCACGGGGACGAGCCGGCGGCGCCCCGGCCGCACGGAGTGGCCTCCTCCACGGCGGGCCCCCCCGCGGCTCACTTGGAGCGCTGGCGCATCTTGCGGCGCTTCTTCTGCAGGCGGCGCGTGCGCTTCTTCTTCCACTTCCACCGGAACATCGACCGGGCCTTCTTGTACGGGTTCGACTTGTGGGCCATGGCCGCGGGGGGCGGCGGGAGCGGCGGGAGGCCCGAGGCAGAGCGCCCGCGCCAGAGTGGCTGCGGAGGTCCGGGTGAAAGGGGTCAGGGAGCTCGGGTCCGCGGAGGAAGGGGCGGGAGAGGACCGCGACGAGGGAGGAGCGGGTCTTCGGCGGGGGGGAGGCCAGGGGGCAACCGTTGGGAGGGCTTCGAGTCGAACTGCGGATCTGCTGAAACCTATCGAAACAGAGTGGGCCCAGGCAAAGTGAGTTGGCCAAGATTCGAATGCTGGATGAAGCTGGATTTAGCTAGAGCTAAGAAATGCATGAGAAAGACCGAGCCAGGAAAACATCCAGAATAGAGCATAGCCGATTACTGATCAACCTTCCAAATTTTGCAACGTGTGCGAGGAAGGTAGGAAGACGAGCACTGCATGCAACGCCGAGGCACGTAGAAGCAAGGCAAGACGACAACAACACCACCGTTGTCAAGGGGCAGAAGAAGGTCCTTGCGCTGGTGTGGCGTCGTTTATCGTACGCCCCGCTGGAGCCGTCTCGGGGAGGTATCTTGGAACCCCCTCTCGCCAGGAGAGACAGTGGTTGTGTCGCCAAAAGTTATTTCCTTCATCCGATGAAAGAAACACGGAGTGAGGAAGAGAGGAGGGACGATGATGGCGAAGAGGAGGATGGGAACATCAAGGGGGAAGTACGCTGGGCACGGACATCGCGAAACACCTTCCTTCACGAACCCTCTCCTGGAGGTGCCACTGGCCCGGCCGTTCCGTCCCGGCGCCGCCGGGAGACAGGGGCACCGTGGTGTGCGGATTCGGGTCCCGTGGCCCAAGCCTGCGGGGCTCTACGGTCATGCTCCTATTCTTAGCGTGTATGTGGCTTCAGGCCCTGCGAAACTGCAGCCGTTGACACGCTCAGCAACGCAGGGGGGGTACACGCAAAATCGGGTATAGTGACACGGTCCTCTAGCATACATACTTAGCACAAGCCATGCAAGATACACGCTAAGTGCGGAGCGCTTAGGGTGTATAGGCGCATTCCCAACGCTGAGAATCGGACCATGACCGTAGAGCAATTCTGACCGATGAAGGTTGCCTAGAACACTTCTAGGTCACCCATCTTGATGCACCGTGCACGAAGCGCCGTCCCTCTCCTCCCCAAAATAAAACGTCCCCAACAAACTCAGACCGCGCAGTGCGAAACGCCATCATCCTCGCGCACATGCGGGTGACCGAGAAACACTGGGCGACGCACACTTATTTTGCTTTTTAGAGTCGGTGGTCCTGGAACACCAGTGCGAGTCTACACTGATTATCACGGGGTTGCTCTGTCAAAATACTATTAGATCGGGCATGTCCTCCTACAGGCAGGTTTTGGAAGACAAGTAACCGTTAGTCAAACAAATCATTAAATATTATAAAACGAAGTCATACTACTTTATATGATTATTGAAGTTTGCTCCTGTACAGGGACATGCCCGACTTAAAGATAATACGAAAGCGCCCGAAACGTACGGGATGCACACCAGGTGCCGGGACAATTCTCGGTGCCAACACAAGAGGCCTCCAGAGAGTCAGACAGGCCAAAAGTGTTCAAAACACAAGCGAAGAGGGAGGGGAGGAGGGGGGGGGGGTTGGGGGGGGGTTGGAGGATGAGGAGGAGGGGGAGGAGGATGAGAAGAATGGGGAGGCGGAGGGAGGGGGGGAGGGAGGGGGGAGGAGGAGTAGGAGTAGGAAGAGGGGGAGGGGAGGGAGGAGACGCTGCGCACCCTGCTATGCGGATCCATGCCAAGACACGAGGAGGGCGATGACGAGGAGGGGGGAGGATGAGGCCTGTCCATTCGCCTCGCCCCCACCCGCCCCCTCGCCACAGACCGTTCCCCCCCCATCGACCGGCGGGGGACGAGGAGAAGGCCGCCCCCCTTCCTGGCCCCCTCCCCCCTTGGGGCTGAGCGCCACCCTGGTGGGCACGCGCTCGGCAGGCCCAGACCCGCATCGACTGCAGGAAGGCTGCGCCCTCCTGCCACATCGCTCCCCTCTAGCCTGAAGGGGCCCAAGGACACGCAAATAAAAACACCCAAATAAAACAGATTCCCCATATTCGCCGGCCCAACGGGCCAGGGCGTGCTAAGATCTCCGGTACCTGGTTAACAATATTTCTAGTTCGCGCGCGCGGGGCGGCCCCTGGGGGTCCCCGGACGAAAAGTACCCCGGCAAGGTCCCGGCAAGTCCCCGGCAAGTCCCCGGCAAGGTCGGGTCAGAGATGCCGGAGTTCTGTTTCGGAGTCCAAGAGGGCTCCAGATCGGTCCAAGAGGGCCCCGAGAAGCTTTCTAGACGGTCCAAGAGAGGCCCGAGACGGCCAAAGATCGCCCGAAGACGCCCCAGATGGCCCCAAGACAGCCCAAGAGGCCTCCAAGACGCTCCAAGGGCCTTCCAAGAGGCCTCCGAAGAGGGCCCCAAGTTGCCAAAATCGTTGATTTTCATTAGTTTTTTCTATGTTTTTTTGCGTTCTGGCCTTTTCGCTTCCGGACGCTCCAAGAGGGCCCAAGAGGCCTTCAAGACTGCTCCAAGACGGCCCACGAGGCTCCCAAGACGGCCCCGGAGCGGCCCAAGAGCGCCCCCCAGACGGCCCAAGTGCTGCCCAAGGCGGACCAAGAGGCCCCAAGACGGGCCCAAGAGGGGCTCAAGAAGGGAACCGAGAACTGAAAAATCGAGCCCTCCGCCCCAGAAGGCGCCCAGGACCCCGAAAGAGGCCCCAAGAGACTCTCCAAGACACCCCCAAGACGCCCCAATAAGCTCCCGTGAGGCCCCAAGAGGACCAACAACGTCAGGCCCCAGGCCCCAAGAGGACCAACAAATACCGCCAAGAGCCCGCCGAAAGCCCCCCAAGAGACCGTCACGAGAGCTCAGGAGGCCCCCTGGAGGCCTCCCGAGTTCTCCAAGAGGCCTAAAAAGAGGCGCCAAGAGGCCCCAAACGGCCCCACCGAGGCTCCAAGAGGCCACGAACGCGCAAGCAAACGCCTGCGATGGCACAATACGGGCCGGCGGAATGAGCGAAGCGATTAATAAAACAGATTCCCCATATGTTCCCATACGTTTGGGGTTTTCGTGTTCCCCCCCATTTCCCATATTTTCCCATATTTTCTGGGGAATCGACGATTCATTGTGTCTGTGTGTTCTTCCCTCCTGATAACCTCCCCTCCTCGCCTCAGTCGATCCGGGGGCGCGGGAACGAGCGTGGGCCCGCCTCCAAAGTGAGCGGGCCCGCGACCACCTAGGGCTCCCAACTTCGCGCTTCGCGCTGCGCGAAGCGCGAATAACTTCGCGCTCTCGCGCCGCCCTCCCAGAAGGAGAATAGGAGGACGAGGAGGAGGGGGAGAAGGAACGAGGACCGCGAAGCGCGAATAACTTCGCGCCCTCGAGGGAGCCCTTGGACCACGGTGCGTGGGGCGCGCGGCGCACTGCCCCGGCAGCAGGACCTTGCGCCTCGAGGCTGTGCCCAACCAGCCTGCCCCTTTCCTGCGCGCTGGCCAGCTCCGACCAGCCACAACTGGGGGAGCCGTGGTCCCTACCCCCGTGGGGGAACCCGTTGCATCGACGATCTCTCGATAGGAGTGTCGAAATCGATGGGTCCCCCAGAGGGGTCAAGGACAACAGCTCCTCCAGTTGTGTCTGGCCTGCAGTTGGGCGCGAAATATGGGAGGGGGCGACAGTTGGGGGGGAGGAGGAAATTACATTTCTCGGGCCCGAATGGCCCCCTCTGGGGCCCTGAAGGGACCCCTTCTGCAGCCCTCGCTCGCGGCACCCCTCCTATCGCTCCCCCATGGCGCGCCCCTCGCTGCCAGAAGTATGTAACCCTATTACGCGCTGGCTGCCCATCTCAGCAGCGCTGGCGGTCTCGCTCCCCCCCATCGGCCGGCGGCGGGTGGAGGGGGGGGGCCACCGCCGAGCTTCGGCGTCAGCTCGCGAGTGGGCAGCGCCTGCCGCGGCCTGGTCCGGGGGGGCATCGGGTGCGCGACGCGCGGGTGGGGGGGGCTGCCCTGGGACAGAACTGGAGGTCTGCAGCCTGCTCACCACAGCCATCGCGCTACCAGGAGGAGCGCCAGGTGAGGATCGAAGGGCCTCTCAACTGAACTCGAGCTGTGGGCAAGCTAAGGAGCTGTCAAGCAAATGTCCATGAAACCGCACATCCTCGCGCGCGCTGAATGCGAGATTGCCACGCTCGCATGCCATTCATATATATATATATATATATATATGTATATATATATATACATAGGGCAAGGAAGCTCTACGAGTCCCTGGCAGTAACCAAGGTTGACGGTTTACCGCCGGCTTCCAGTTTTTCAATACGCATGGCCTGAAACTGTCCAGCAGGGAAACTCTCCAGCAGGCCCTTTCAATGCACTTCCGAGGTCCCTTCTGGGAGCTTCCCCAAGCTTAGGCGCCCCGCCCCGCTATCCAAGTTTTCCCCGGATGGCTTCTTCTGAGAGCTGAAGCGTAGTGACTCGTAGAGCTCCTGGCCACGACCTCACTTCTCGCGGCCGGCCGGCCGCGCGAGATCACCGTTCGGTGGCAACTCATGGGAGCCGAGCAGCTCAAGCACGAATCTCGGCGCAAGCGAACCTGATTTTATTGCGTCGCTCATCTGGCGCGTCCGATGTCGGTCCAGTAAAGTGGGCACGGTGCACAACAGCCAGTGCAATCCAACATCGGCCACGGCCTCCTGCGGGCAGGCGACACTGGCTTCCGAGTGGGAGCAAGACGCGCCCAGCGACACCGACAACGAGTCCTGTTCAAGACATGCAAAACCTGCTGTCGGCCTTCGTCCCCTCTGCCGGCAGTTCGAAGGAGCGGCCCCTGAGGGGTGGATCCCTGAGAGCGAAGGGCCCAACGCAGTGCAGGTCCGGCTGGGGGTCGTTCTCCCGTCCTTGGGGCCCCACCCCCCCGGGGGGCCGTGTGCTGGAACCCCCGTCCCTGCCTCCCGCGCGGCAGACTCGTGCCGGGACGACCCTGGGGCGGGCTTCTGACACCGCGTGGATCGTTTTCAGCTCGGATCCATCGCTCACCATCGCTCGGACGTTCATTCCCTGTGTTTTTTTCCGGTTTCGTGCGTGGCTTTTTCGCCAAATGATCAAGGATGCTCCTCGATGGTCCTCGCCGAAGCAAAGAGGCACACGTCCGAGCGATGCGAAGATCGGCGGCGACTCGACTGCCCAGTCTTTCCGCTTGGCAGATCCGGGGCCGCTGGCGGCGTGCAACCTCGAGCCTCGAGCGCCCGCCCTCGGGCCGCCGCCGCCGCGCGGGCACGACGCAGGCACACCGTGGCCAACTCTCGGTCGTGCAGGGGAGGCGGGTCCCCAAGAAACCCTCCACCTCCTCCTCCTCCTCCCCTCCTCCTCCTCCTCCTCCTCCTCCTCCTCCTCCTCCTCCTCCTCCTCCTCCTCCTCCTCGGGAGGCCGATCCCCAAGAAGCCCTCCACAAGAAGCCCCGCCCCGAGGCCCCAGGAAGTCCACTGCTGTGTGGCGTGGGGACGTCACGCCCTCCACGGAAGAGTCGTCGAGGCCCGAGAAGCCTAGGGCACCCCGGAGGCAAGCAGGGTGCCTCTTGGCACGGGCCCGCAGTGGACTAAACCGACAACCCTTTGGATCAGGTCGGGCATGTCCCCCTACAGGCGGATTTTGAGCGACAACTGGAAAGTACCACCAACATATCGTTTAATAGTCAAAAATACTTTAAAAAAAATCGTTTCCCGACTATTGTTTGACTATTTTTGAGTATTCCTCCTGCAGAGGGACAGGCCCGACTTCACCTTTGGAGGGCCCCCCGAGCCCGCAGCGGCGGCCCGCCGGCCTCGCGCCCGCCTGCGCGGCCGCCGCTCCGGGGCCTCCGCCGGGCGGCTCGCGCGGGCGCGGGGCGCGAAGCAGGGGGCTCTCGCCCCCGTGCTGCCTGCTGCACCCCTGCCTCCATACCCGTCCACCCTGCGCCCCGTCCTGCCCCCAGATCCCTGCCTCCTCCCTCCTCGACGCCCACTGTACGGCCCCACCTTTCGTCACTACTCAGTCCTCGTTAAGATACCCGCCCACCGGTGCAAGAAGGGGCCCTGACGCGCTCAAAAGAGGCACTGCCCTATACCAAAGCAAGCGGCTCAACCGTAAACGCAGATACCGCCAGTGGTGTGAAACAAACCCAGCATCACCCACCTAAAACTTATCCATCCCTCTCCGCCTCCTCCTTCTCCTCATCCTTCTGTCCTCCTTCTCTCCTCCCTCTCATCCCCTCCTCCCTCTTATCCTCCTCCTCCTCCTCCTCATCCTCCTCCATTTCTGATTCGTATATCCCTCCCCTGCTCTTCCCCACCCTCTTCTTCTTATTATTATTCATATTCCTCCTCCTTCTCCTCCTCCTCCTCCTCCTCCTTCTCCTCCTCCTCCCCCTAACCTTCCTCGATCCTCTAGGAAAGCCAAGTGCAGGCTGCGGAATAGGAGGGCCGACTTCTCTCCATGGGGATACCCTGACCTTTCTCCCTCCCCAGCGACGTCAACACGACGCGCGATAGACAGGGGCATTTTTCATCGTGCAGTGTCGACCTACCAATCGACACCGGCTGTCGCAGCGCGCCTCGCTTCCCATAGCAAAACCATCGAAACCCACAAAACCTAGGGCACCCTAGTGGCAAGCAGGGTATTTCTTAGCATGGGTTCCCACTGTAGGGGCAACTCGAACAGACATTTCGAGCCCTCCGCCCCGAGAACCCCCGCAACCGCCAGCAGGCGCTCAAGAAGGCCCGAAGCGGCCCCCAGGTGACCTCAAAAAGACCCTCCCAAGGGCTCACCCGTGGCTTTCGTTTTTCCGCTGGGGGTCGGCGGACTGGCGCAAGCCTCTTGAATAACGAGGGTGGCGACCGAGCGCGTGGAGAAGTCGAGGCGCAGATTAGGGATCATTCGGAGTCATGTGCGGCAAGTTCGTGCCGCGGCGACTTGCGCGCTGGTCTCTGACACCGCGCGGATCCCACAACCTCGAACGATCGCGGCTTTCCGACGGCGCAGATCGTTCGGTATCGGCCGAATCTGGGCCACTGGCGGTGTTCAACCATGAACGCAAGCGCTGGGGTCACGGCCTCAAGCGCTGGGGACGCGGCGCGAACCTGAGGTAACAGGAGGTGAGCAGCCCCCCCTGCGCGCGAGGTGGGGGCGATGACGGCCGGGACGGAACCTGGACGGCAGATCGGGCCCTCCCGCTGTTCCTCCTCCTCCTCCTCCTCCTCCTCCTCCTCCGCCTCCTCCATCTCCCTGTCCTCGTCCTGCTCCTCCTCGTCCTCCTCCTCCTCCTCCTCCTACCGAGAGGGCACCATCCTCAGGTGTTTGTCAAGGGGGGGGGGGGGCAGTACACGTGAGGGGGAAGACACGCGCACGGCCGGCTCGCCTTCCGGGCCCGCGGTGGCAGCTTCGGTGGCACCTGGGGCCCCTTTAGGTGACGCTTCCCTGCGCTCCTTAATGGGCCGACTTCCCACCACCACTACCATAGGTAGGAGGAGGAGGAGGAGGAGGAGGAGGAGGAGGAGGAGGAGGAGAAGGAGGAGGAGGAGGAGGAGGACCTCCCCACCCTCCCTTCTCCCTCGTCCTACATATGGTAGTAGTGGTGGAAGATTGGCCCATCACTCCTCGATCCCCCCCGACCCCCTGAGATCCGACGCTGTGAACAAAAAAACACGACGTGGCCCACAGATCTCGGCCGGAGCCCTTAGACCCTTTGTTTCTGATGCGTGTTTCGAGCCCGATCGACCTGCGATGGTCCCAGGGCCCAGATCTGAGCGAAAAGGCTCGGCGTGGAGCAAGTTGCCACGGCTGGATCTCAGGGCCCCCACGTCTATGACTACCTATCTGACCACCCCAACCCAGACCGAAGACCCGAATTTCGGGTTTGGGAGGGTACGGGCTTCATACGTGTTGTTTCAATGTTACCCGACCCCCCCCCCAATGGAAATGGAGGGCAAGTCGGGGCCTTCGGGTTGGGCTGGGGTGGTTTGGTTGGCGGTGCGTCTCGTGCCCCGCTGTCGCCGCCCGCCGGAAATCCGCCCACCGACCTCCTCTCATTCCGACCCCACTCATGCGAAGGCGCCGAGCGTCGGGTCTCGACCTTGGCCGCAGTCCGTCGCGCCGCCGCCTTCAAGAGGGAGAAATTATCAGACGCACCTCTGTATACAGACATACACATGTACGACCACATCAGGGCTCTACGCAAAGAGCGGGGGATTCTAGTCCAGCAAGCCTTCGCCTCAGCACATGCCGACAGCTGGTGAACCCGTGGGAAGTGGAGGGGAAGACGATCATCCAGAGACGTGTGGCAAACGTGAGAGAATCCCCTGGGATCTGTGTCCCCTCGCTCTGTATCCCTGGGTCCCTTCATGGAACGACGGCGGATCTGCGATCGGCGGATCTGCGATCTGCGGTCGCCGTGCACGCCCGCCGCCGGGGCCTCCGCCGCGTCGGTACGGCAGGAGCCCACCGCACGTCGCAGCGACGGGGAGTCAGGGACCCCCTGGCAAGAGGAGGTCGGAACGAGGAGAAATTCGGGTGAGGATGAATCGAGAATCCCTGAGATCTGGCGGCTCTGGAGGATGTATCGGGCGTCACGGTCTGCTCAGAGCGTTCTGGAACGCTCTCGGATCGTTCGGGTTTTATCCTCGTCCTAACCCCGTCCTGAATTGAGTCATATATATACATATATATACATATAGCGCAGTAAAGATTGCACAACCCATATTGCAACGCACAGATTGCACAACCCAGATTGCAACACATCGATTGCACCGTATGTCCATATATACATATATATATATAAAGATATGTTGCACAACCTATACTGCTAGACGGACGCTGTTCGGGTCCACGCTGGACACTGTATCTGTATGAGTATATACATATGTATATACATATATATATATATATGTATACACATGTATGTACATCCAGAAAGGGAAGGACCCACTGAGAAAGAGGGGACATAACTAGAGACAGAGGCAGAGATGGATAGTGTGAAAGAGAGAGAGAGAGAGAGAAAGAATTTGGACGCCCGAAATGGGCACGGAAAGAATGGGCACAATGCCCAACAAATGTTGTCCCTAACCAACAGCGGCCGCTGATGGGCAGGCGGCCTCGGACACAGGCCGCGGCGGCGCGGACAGCGAGTCCTGTTCAAAATGAACAGGAACTGCTGTTGGGCATTGTACCCACTCTTTCCGTACCCTTTTCGGGCGCCCGAAGAGAAGAAGGAGGGATGTGACCCTGCGCGCGCCGGCGTAACTGCCCTCACTGGAGCGGCGGCGCTCGCACGCCGCAGCCACGAGACAGAGCCCTGCACGCAGTCGGTCTCCAGGCCCTCCCAAGGCCTTCTCGGAGCTCCTTCGGGGTTCCCTGGAGGGGTCCAAGGCCCCTCCCAGGGCCTCCCGGGCCGTCGCAGGGCCCCCTCTCGGGCCGTCCTGGGAGGAGGCGGTCGGAGACGAGAAAGAGGAAACGGGGCCTCTGCCTGGCGAATGCGTGCATTGCCCCCTCCTCCTCCTCCTCCTCCTCCTCCTCCTCCTCCTCCTCCTCCTGATCAACATCTTCCTCCTCCTCCTCCTCCTCCTCCTCCTCCTCCTCCTCCTCTTTCTCCTCGGAGGCAGTGCAGTGCCCCCCCCCCCACTGGCCCCGCATCTTATCATTATTTTGTCGCCCCCGCCGAAGAGATGCCCGAGCTCCACCCGCGCTGCCGCGGAGCCTGGCTGCTCCAGCGGGTACATGGCGATGCACCTGGCAGCGCCATTCGTATACTCGACGGGGAGGAGGACCCAGAGTGTCCGAGATCTCTCACGCATGTTAGGTCCCCACCATGGAGGGTTGCACGTGCGAGTTGGACATTCACGGTGCACATCAATTGAGGCATCGAAAGTTATCGGTGTTGTGCTATGCATCTCAATTGCAGGGTTCTGCGTCCACTCTGCCGATCCTGACTCTCCTCAACAATTGTGAACAACATGTTGCAATATTGGGGCCTTCTGGGGAGGAGCAAGGAGCAACAACCGTAACGCCAGGTAGGGGGATCGGGGAGCAGAATATGTTTAGTAGGCGAGCCAAGGAGCCGTCACGGTACCATTAAGACGAAACCGTAGACTGCAATGCTGCGTGGGTGTGCATTGTGTCCGAGCTGCTGGCCACGTCCTCTGCAGCTCCCCATCCAGGATGGGGAGCTGAAGAGGACGTGGATGCTCGCAAGGTAGCTGCTCGCAAGTCGACAGCATCCCATCATCAGCATCATCAGCATCATCATCATCATCATCAGCAGCATCAGCATCAGCATCAGCATCATCATCATCCTCATCATCATCCTCATCATCATCATCATCACCATCACCATCACCATCACCATCACCATCACCTTCATCACCATCATCTTCATCACCATCACCATCACCATCACCACCATCATCATCATCATCATCATCATCATCATCATCATCATCACGGGGGCACCCAATGTCCTCCTCCGCTGGCAAGTCGCCACCTTGCAGATAATTAGGTAGTGCCGTTCTGGGCCGCATGCGTCTCCGACGAGATCGCCGGCCGCTCGTCGACCAGCTTCTCGGCCCTGGGCCCTTGGTAATGCTCCAAAACCTTCTCGTGGAGGCCAAGGCGGCAATTGTGGGCGCATTGAGGACTTGAATCGCCGGTCCCGACGTGAAGGATCGTGGCATGCAGGGGATGCTGCCAACAACTCGCAACCACGGGTGCGAGCCGGACATCTGGCGCCGAAGGCATCGCGTTCGGGAGGGGCACGCGCGAAGACGAGCACGAGCCGGCCTCCACAGGCGGCGCCGC